CTTCTCCCAAAGTGAAACGTGTTGTAGATGGGTCATATGGAAAATTGCTAATATGAGACCGCTCTGGCTGCCATGGGTTGACTTGGTTTGTCCACCTCTCTTGCCCTGACCTGCCTCCCTCCTCCCACCTCGTTGAGGACAGTAGGCGGGACCCACAGTTGTAAGGTTGGCAAATCCCTGCTGTAGGGCACGGTTTCTCAGAGGGCGGTCAGCACCAGGATTTCTAGGCCTCTACCCCCAGCCACCGGAATTAATAAGCATGGAATGAGCATCCACAGATGGTTCTTCTGCACACTGGAGTGAATCACTGTTCTAGAAACTCTGAACAGTCATTTCTAGTAAAGAAAAATAATCACAAAGGGCGCACTGTCCACAGTCATTTCAAATAATCCCTATCAAGCTACTGCATTCATTCGAACACTGAAATTGCCAAGATATTTGAAGAGGTGAAGTCAAATAATTTTAAATAAAACACTGGTTCTAAAAGTTCAATATGTGGAAATTATGATGAATGGCCTACCAGATTTACAATTTTAAGTAATTTAGTAAACACTTATCATCACTTTTCTGGGATATTTGGGGGGCAACTATAATAAACTGGACAGCTATCCTGTCCTCAGTGAGAAGAAGTATATGCAGAGGAACTGAAATACATAATTGAAAGTACTAGAAGATATAAGGAGATGATTCTTCCCAGGTTGAAAGATGAAGGGAAGACTGAGTTAAGTCTTCAAGTTGACCTAGGGTAATTCATTTCTCCTTTCCCTATCCTTTCCATATTCTACATAATTAGTGCATCCTCTCACACAGCAAGCAGGGTCCCAGGAGAGCTCAATCCTGGCCTGGGGGGTGGGGAACGGCAGAAGCACATAAGGATGCCACCCCTGCCAGCCACCTGGTATATCAGCAAGTGGCACCACGGCCAGTGCCCAGCCCTGCAAAATACACATAGCAAACAGTCAGTGGGTTAATGAGAAGTGATGATCAGAGAGAGGTCAGATGTAACTCACCGAGATCATGTGAGAACCAAAGTCTCCCCATGGGCGTATAGAAATCTGAGGGCACCAGCTATGGTGATGGTGTCATTTATAGGAGTTTATGTAAACTCTTGGTTGGATTGAAAGAATTATATGTTTCCATTAAAAATATGAAATGAATATTAAACATCAGGATTTTGTAAGAGCCTACTAGTATCTCTTTCAATTTCTAGAGTGAAAGAACATTTCTTAACTAAAATTTTTATGGTTTAGAGAGACAATCAACTGAAGGTGACAATAATTCCAAAATTATTCATCATAAAATAAAATTGAAGATGACTAACGGCAATTTTATAATAAAATAAAACAGTACGATTTGTCTTTAGTCTTCAGGTAAATAACACTGACAAAGATGGCAGAGTCAGATACATCAAAAAACTGAATAAAATGTATGGATAAATACAAAGGATAATTATTCTGCTAATATTATTAATGTTCAGATGATAAATATAAAAGCTTGCTTTTGCTCTAAACACATGAATTTTTTAACTTTTTTTTAAAAGATTTTATTTATTTATTTGACAGAGAGAGATCACAAGTAGAAGAGAGGCAGGCAGAGAGAGAGAGAGGGAAGCAGGCTCCCTGCTGAGCAGAGAGTCCAATGTGGGACTTGATCCCAGGACCCTGAGATCATGACCTGAGCCGAAGGCAGTGGCTTAACCCACTGAGCCATCCAGGTGCCCTGAATTTTTTAACTGTTGAAAAAAATTTAAATCCTCTTGGACTAGCTTGTCAATACAAAAAAAATAATAAATCCAATTTGTTGATCCATAAGTAAATATTTCGATGGTATATAAATATATAATTTAGTTATATATTTTTTTTAAAGATTTTATTTATTTATTTGACAGAAATCACAAGTAGGCAGAGCAAGGGAGAAACAGGCTCCCTGCTGAGCAGAAAGCCCGACGCGGGGCTTGATCCCAGGACCCTGAGATCATGACCTGAGCCGAAGGCAGAGGCTTAACCCTCTGAGCCACCAGGCGCCCCTAATTCAGTTATATTTAATGTAAATTTTAACTCTCAAATATATCCTGTTTAGGCAAAAGATGTTATATGGTTATCCTACCATAAAGAATATATATATAATTGTTTTGAACTTTATGTTTTGAAATTTTGCATAAACTGTATCTTACTGAACATTCCTTTGCAATTTATAAACCATTATAAGAATAAAACACTGATTACTTAACCATTCTACTATTTAAAGACAGCTATGTCATTTCTATCTTTTCACAAATTTCAATGATTCTTACTGGTCATCCATTTAAATGTTTCCTCATGAACTCTGAGTTCCAGAATGTGAATATCTGGAATTTCATTGATTATTATGAAGCTGTGAATTAATTATTACGAAGCTCTCTTTGGTGACTGAATCAAATGACATTCCCACCATCATGTATGAAAGCACTTTCCACCCTAGATCCTAACCAATGCTTGGAATTGTCAGACTTTTAAATATTGGCCCATCAAGTAGGCTGCAGTGATACAACTTTGTATCTAAAACTAATTTCTCTAATCAGTAATGACACCTTGAACATAATTCCAAGTTAACCAATCGTTGTCTTCTCCTAAATGTCATTTTATCTACTATTTTGGTCCCTCTTATTTTGTACCCATCAAACTAATCGATATTATTTTTTATACCAATGTTCATTTAGACAAATCCACATTTACCCTTGGGTTTTCTAAGCATCATCTCTCACAGCCCATTTTGTCACCCTGGGCTCAAACCCACTCCTCCCCATTGTGAGAACTTGATCAGTTCTTTCAGACTGGGTACAAATACTCTCAGTGTTTGTCTGAAAGTGTCTTTATTTCCCTCCCATTCTTGAGCAGTATTTTTGTTAGGAATGTTGGGTTTAGAACTCTGAGTTAACAGGTATATCCCTCAGTCATTTGATATTACTCCAATACCGTTTTCCTTCTATTATTCCTGCCAGGATCCATTCAAATTATTGTTCCATTATAAATAATCTCTTTTCTTCATTTGAGTTTAAATTCTTCTTATTTTCCTTGATCTTTTACTTAAAAGTGAATTTATTAAAAATAAAGTGAATTTATTTTTATTTATCCTGATTAAAACCAACTGTGTGTTGTTTTGTTTTATTTTGTTTTATCTTGCTTGGGACCATGTACTCTCAAATCAGAGGAATTAACAGTCCTGAAAAATTCTCCATATTCTCCTGGAAAATGGTCTCTCTCCTAGTCTGTATTCTCCTATAATGAAACTCCTATCAGAAATATTTTTGGCCATCTCTTCCAAATTCCTAGTCTCTTAAAAGCTTTGTTTTACATTTTAACCTATACCACATTTTGGGCAATTTCCCCATATCTATCTTCCAGTTCACAAATTCTCTCTTTGGCATTGTCAAACTTGCTGTTTTAACCCATCCAATTTTTTTTTTTTTAAACTCCACTAGCTAACATTATGTTCTATTTAATAGCTCTTCTTCTATTATACTTGTTTTCTGTTTTAGGTTTCAAATTTTTTATGCTTTAATTAACATAAAATGTATTTGTTTTGTCTTTTGTTTCAAATTGTAATTTTATTTTCTTAAGTCTCAGGGGAACCTAATCTTCCAGTTTATGGTATATACTTACTTCTACTCATGACAGAATATCCTTTTATTTGAACTGTAATGGTTGACCATGTGTGCCCCTTGACTAGGGCATGGTTCCCTCTGGAGGCATGGAGCCCATGCTTCCTGAATGTTCTCTAGGAATGCTTTTATGTACACTCTGCTTGAAACATCAGATGCACCATAAATCTGAGTCCAATATTTGTATTAACTTCCCATTCTGGATCACACAGGTACTGTTTAGATGGATCTCATTTTTCCCCACATATTGCATTTTTTTCCCTATTTCTCACATTTTTTTTTTCCAGTTTCCTAAGTGCTCAGTGTATGCAAAGGTCAGAATTCCTCCCCTCCACAACCTCGTCAAGACTGCCAGAGTATCAGGTCATGCACTTAAACTCCAAGTTTATCCATTCCTCTATTTAAAAAACAGCTGTGTTATTTCTACATTTTGACTTGTCCTCAGAAATTGTTTCTTTTTGTAATCTCATCTATGATTTTTTTAAACTTTATTCAATTTTACTTAGTGAAATTAGCAAGGGATATTTCATATAATTTTGGCCTCCATCTTGCTGGTTCCCGAATTCTTGGACTCTGTGAAAGCCGTCACAGCCCAGAACAGCCTATATCCTCACTTATTGTATGTAGGAGAGAAAGACATTTATGCCTTATAAAGTCATTGCTGTTATTTTGTGTTTTCTGCTACACACAGTCAAAAAAAAATCCTGTTATACCTTTGACTATTTAGATTGGAGAATAAAAGACTAAAGGAGACACACTAACATTGGCAAAATAACAAAGGGATTGCCATCCTTGCTAAATAAAGGCAGTTTTGAAAAGCACTGTAACATGGAGAGAAGGAAGAACCCTTCACACCGAGAGTGTTATCTGACATTGCAATGCGTTGCCTTAGCACCTGCAAATGACTAAAATTCCCTCTAAAGTTCTCTTTCTGCTTTTTCAAATTTCCCTACATCATCAGAAGCATAATAAACCAAAATGCATTTTAAGAAAATAAGAAATAGAAAAGAAAGGCAAAAGTGGAGAGACATACATGCACCTTAATGACCTATTCTGACCCCAGCTCAATGTGTCACATCCCCAGCACTCCTACTTCCTCAAAATAACTGAATAAATAAAATAAAACACTATTACCCTGGCCTGACATCCAAATTCATTCTTAACCTGAAAGCCCTGTTCCATGGCACTTACTAAATGTATTGACCTCAAATTTTATAGTCCAGTGCCATCCTTCTAATGATGCCTGCTTCTCGGCATCTAGAACTTACGGAGACATGAGTACATCCACACTAAAGCCCTTCCCTGCAGAGGCCTGCCGCACACAGCGCTCTCCTGGTGTAGACAGGGTCTGCACAATTACCTGGCCTTCCGACTGGCAGGGTCCTGGCGTCGTCACTGTTCAGGATCACGGCCAGACCCCCCGAGTGGGACGGGAGGACGGAGCTGCTGAGGTCCACGCGTGTCAAGCTCTCAGGCTCTCTCTCCGAGCCCACCGTGGTGTTTTGTGGGCCTTCCTGTCCAGTGGCCGCCCCTCCTTGGTCTTCCCTCCAGGGTCTCAGCACCATGTGGACGATGCTCTGCTGATCCAGGTCACAGCTCTAGGTGGGAGCAAGGCAGAAGCAGACGAGAGAGCACAAGCGTTAAAAGGCCAGGTAAGGTTTATCCTGTCCTCAGGCCCAGAGCACGCCCCAGAGCCTCAAATCTGTTTAGACCCAAGGTCGCACACAGTCATGGAACCTGAGGAAAGAGCCACGTGTGGCGGATGGAGTTGGACGTCCTGGCCCGTCAGCATGTGCGCGTCTATGTGGGCTCCATATTCCTGGGGCCACAAACCAAAACGTGGGCATAAATGGACCCTGGTGACAGAAAACTAGAGTAACAGTCAAAGCAGCGCGAGATCGAGCGGGTCAGAACTGCACACAGGGCATATATAAGCGCGGTAACAAGCAGTATTCTTTTAAAATCGATTCACTGCAGAAGGGATGTGTCGTCCCAATCATCAAATATAAATGCCAGCCTCCACCTCCATTTTAAAAAGCACAGAGAGTTGGTTATGGGCAATGACAGAGCACTTTTCTCCACAGTTTAAAATAAATGTGTTGATGGTGGACGCCACACGCGCCCCTATGTCACCAGCAAACATATCCCCACGGCAACGGGGAAGGAAGCGAGTGGCACACCCAGGCCGGCTCATCCAATGGCACAATTACAATCAGCGAACATTGGCAAAAATGCTGTGTGCCGACATACTGATGTGTGTGAACAGCAGACTGCAAACCTGACTAGAATTAAAGGTCGAAGCCAGATGGTTTGCTAGGACTAAAACTAGACTAGACCAAAGCTCAGCCTCAGAGTATCTGCTGGATAGAAAATCACCCGTCTGTCTGTCTGTCTCGGCCCTCCTCCCTCATAGACATGACCTCGTTCTCCCACTAAATCCCCGAATTTCAATTTCTACAAACCACCCGTAGTCAGGCTGTCATCAGAGCCATGTCCAAGCAAAGCCCCACACGCCCAGCGGTGCTAATGACAGTCCTGACCGGCCCCCACTCCCTGCACTGCTCGGCCGCTGTCCCCAGCAAACACTGCATCAGCACTTCCTGTGGACACACCACTGCGGACTCAGAAGGTCTCAGGATGCCCCCGGGCCTCGATCCCATTTCTGTGTGTCCCGTGCCCCAGACCTCTGTCATGTGGACACGCTTGCTGTCCCTGCCACCTGTCCTCACAGCTCTGGCTGTATCAGGACGGCTCTGACTCAGCAGTGGTTGCTGGGTTGTCAATCTCCGTCCGCTAACCTGTCCCCACCTGTGTTCCCATTTCTGTCAAATCACTGCCCCACCCCCATGGTATCCAGGGGTCAGGTCCTCCCTGCCCACCTACAACTCTGATTACCCTTCTATGTCTTCTGAAGGCTTCAGTGGGACCCCCCTCCCCGCCCTACCCTTACACCCAGCAAGGTGCAAAGAGTAACTAATTCTGACTCAGAAATAGCCTCCCCATCTTCCGCTCCCTTATTCTCAATTGTCATCTCCCCGTTTTAAGGCTTCATCATTATAACAGTTTTGAAATTGCTCCCTGACCTCCCATCTCTCCCTGTAACCCAGCATGTACACGTTGCCGGAGCGCACTTCATAATCTTTTCAAATATCTCGCTATTACCTATTACACAGAATCTGACATCTTACTATCATCTTCAGGCATGCTTAGACTTCTCTCCTTTCTAGATCACCTATCTTCTGATTTTATCACCTTTCCTCTCCTGCGTCATATACATGATAGATGAGGTTTTTCATCCAAGCTGTTCACTCCCATCTCTCCTCCTCCTGTCCTTGATTGGGCTCAGTCCTGTGATTGGCTTTGGCCACTATGGTGGAACCAGGGCCTTTAAACGTATCTGTGCCACTGCTGTGGTCAGCGAGAGCACCCCCGAGTAGTTTCCGCCTCCTCCAGCCTGGGCCCCCCGTATGCACATGGCCCAGTCCTGCGCTCAGCCGCAGAGGGTACCAAGGGCAGTGGCACCCACGGCGTGAGCAGAGCCTTCCAGCTGGAGGGGCTGGCACCGCAGACCCCCGGCTGACCCGGAGGGGACCGTCACCAACGCACGGCACTGAGATTCCGTGGCTGTTCATTAGGCAGTGACAGCTGACAGTATCTATCTTCCACTCTAACTGGACTAACAGACATTCTGTCACTACCTACCACGGCCTCAGCACTCAGCCGGACTCCAGAATTATACAGAGCCTTGAGCCTGAGTCATTTCAAATAAAGCAGCACCAAGATCTGAGTCCGCCTGAGCGGGATGGCGGGGCAGGAGCTCATGCAACAAGGGGAGGGAGCTGAGAGCGCGAATCCTACCGTCCCCTGAGGTTTTTACCCATAAGCGTGTTCTTTGCAAGGAGGCTCAAGAATTCAGAGAAAATTCCGCTCTCGACGTTCAGGACTTATGTGCTTCAGGTAAAAGTAATGCCTGCCTTCCTCATCTGAACGCCAGCGACCTTTGCCGGCCACGCTCTTCTCGCAGGGGTCGGACCGTGGGCAGAACTTGTATGTGTGTGTGTGTGTGTGTGTGTGCACGCGCGCTTTGAAGCTAGTAGGTAGAGAACACATGTCCGCGAAAGGGAAAATCAAGGGGAAATCGAAGGACGGGGGAAGAAACAAGAATGAAGGAAGGAAGACATCCAAATAGTCATAAACTCGATACCTAAAGTGCTCCATGGGGAGCCAGAAGGCTGTAGAAGAAAGAGCATGGGATTTAAGGCCAGACAGATGTAATCTATTAGCTGCATGATTTTTGGCAAATGACTTTCCCTCCTTAAACTCTAGTTTCTACATCTGTCATTGGCAATAACAACACCAACTCTGACGACGACTCTGAAGATTTAAGGAAACAGAAGGAGTGCAGAGCCCCGTCCAACAGCAGTGCCTCCGTACGCAGTAGTTAGTGTCTTAGTTTCCGTCTACTTGGACAGTTAGGATCACCATTCGGGAGTTTCGAAAACAACGGGTTTGGCCCCTGATCTTGTACACTGATAAGACCTCTGAATCTCACACAGTCCTGCTTGGAGAATGGACACAGAAGGGAATAAGCAGGCGCTAGACATGTGATAATTGCTCTGACAACATTCCAGCTTCCTGTGAACTAGAAATTGATTAAAAAAAAAAAAAATCCCTGTCTGCTCAGATGCCATGAAACACATGAAGAACCTCAGCAAATTCCCGGAGCATGCTAAAATTTGACAAACATGGAAGAAATCCCAAAACAGAGATTTTCCTTTCAAATCAAGATTTTTATTTTTGGATGCCCAAGGTGGAACTGGAAAGAGGAACAGGAAGGTCACAAGCTACATATGGAACATATTCCTCTCAGCCTGCATCCATGGTTCTGAGACCATTAACTGATCAACTCTTTGACTTCGCATAAAAAACAGCGCTGATCTCGGAAGCAGTCCCTTTGCCAGATGGCACAAATGCACCATCACAACGGTTCAGTTCAAAGCCCCATAAGTAACACATTCCAGGCATGATGACCTGGATAAAGTTCAGTTGTCCAGCCTCTCTGAAGCCCAAAATAATATTTAATTCTCATAGGATACAAAAAAATTCCTCAGCTTTGGGAGGTAGAGATTTTCAGTGGGAAAACAGCCGAGTTCTCCAGCATGGTTTTAAACTTTCTCATGTGTCTCTGTTTCCTCAATAAACAGAATATTGCCTGGCAAAGAGGAAACACGTTACACTTGTGTTTTAACTTATTAATTCAACAAGTGACGCCGTGATGTGAGTTGTGTAGTGTGGACAAAACAAATAGTTATTAGTCCAACCGGACTTGCTCTCATGCCATCCAGTGGAGCCAATCCCCCATAGGGGGCTGAGAAATCTGTATCTTGGACACTTTCTCCACGGTACCTTTGATTTGGGGATTCCCCAGTATTAATATCTATGGGAGTTGATTGCCAACCAGTAACCAACTCTCGCCTAACTGGCCATCATTCCACAACATACAAGACACTGGTGTATTTTTTCCTTTTACAAAAAGGAGTTCCTCTGCTGACACATAGTTAGGATTCAAATATTTCAGAGTCTGACAATCCAATCAGAACACTGGAAGTAGGGATGCCTGGGTGGCTCCGTTGGTTAAGTGTCTGCCTTAGGTCCAGGTCATGATTCCGGGTCCTGGGATAGAACTGGGATAGTCCTGGGCTCAGTGGAGAGTCTGTTTTTCTCTCTGCCCCTCCACACTGCTCATGCTCTTTCTCTCTCTCAAATAAACAAAATCTTAAAAAAAAAAAAAAAAAGGAAAAAAGAAAGAAAGAAAGAAAGAAAAAAAGAAAAAGAAAGGAAGAACACCAGAAATGCTTTTGAAAAATCTGCTAATGCTTTTCAAAGTCTTAACCTTTAGATCTTATAAAAACAAGTAATGTTACTGTAACAAGAAAATTCCTGGGGACTGCAAAGTTATTGGAATATTTTCCAAACACTTAAAGAAGGGCTAGACAGACAATCTCTAAAATGTTAATAATGAGATTCAAAAAGTCAATAATGACACATTATTAACAAAGTGCTTTCATCAACTATAGAAATAACAATCATATTAATAAAATGAAATCAGCACACACTGTTTTAGAGCTCTAGTTAGGCTCCAGGCTGCGTTACAAGGTTTCTGATGCACTCAGCCGTCGCACGTTGCCAGAGTCCTCTGAGGGAGGGGCTCTTGTCATCCCCAGGGCGGCTCTGGCTGGCACAAACCCAGCTCTTGATTTCACTGGCTGTTCACTTACATCACACCCGGCAGAAGACAAAGGCGATCCACAGAGAGGTTCACGGCAGGTTCGACATCCCCCAGCTCCTAAGTGTGAAGCCAAGATAGGCGCCCAGGTCGAGGACTCCCCATGACCCTTCTGTGACGTCCCAGGCTCCACAGCGTGGCTGCTGAGAGGTGGGGAGCGGAGGGGGCAGATGGAGGAGGATGAGGGCAGGGGCCAGGCGGGGAGGGCAGGGTTTGGAAGCTGCATGCACACTCCCCAGGTGCAAAAGAACGAAGAGGAGGAAAGCCAGGTACCCGGAATGGGAAAAGCCGCGGAGGGTGGCCCTCCCAGAA